AATAATATATATATATATATATATATATATATATATATATATATATAAGTTTTATAATATAAAATACTGTGCAAAAATATTTAACATTTATAAATTTTCTTTAAATATCTTATATTTAAAAAAAATGATTTTTGTTTAATAGATCAAACTATTTGTATATTAAGTTGCTTGTAAAGTCATTTGGAATACTTGTAGTAGGGTATATGTACAGATATGGTATTCGTGGGTGGTTGTCGATAACCAAAGGCGTCGCCACGAATTTTGTCTCGAATTGCTACTAATCGATTATAATAATTTTCTTTAGCTTTTTCTTTTGTGTTGTAAAATTAATAGTTAATTTATTATTATTAATTAAAATTAAATTAAAATTAATTATATTTAAAATTATATCCTTTCTTTTTTCAAATATATTTTTTTTTCTAACATAATTTTATTTTTATTGTATTGTATTTTAACATGGTTCAAAGATAAATTTTTAAGAAAAATTTTTTTTTGAAATTCATGCACGTGATATATATATTAAAACATGAAAATATTATTTAAATAAATTAAAGCTAAAATGATTGAATGTGAACAAAAAAAAGATGCGAATGGAAGAAAACAAAGTTTAAATATTCGAGCTCAAAATTTAATTTGGTAGAGTATGCCTTTGGTGGTAGCATTTGCTGGCTACGAGGTGAAATCGTATCGACCGCAAGGGAAGTTCGCGCGCAGTGAGGAGCACGCGCGATACATACATACTCGATTCACAAGATAATCTGAAGAAAACTGTTCAGAAAAATTTATTATATCTTACAATACCTAATTTCTAGTGATTCTAGATTCTAATCATAAATTTTATTCTCATGTTCTTTTAAAAAATTAAATAAATCTATATATTATGAATATATGTTTATATTAATATAATTTTTCTATGTTTCATAATTTAATCTTTTTGACAATAACAAATCGGCCTTTTATACAAATTTGGGTAATATAATATATAATAATTCAACTATTGCTCATTTTTTTTTATTACATACATAATTAAAATAATAGTAAAAGTATTCGGATTCGTTCGAATTTGATTATTTCTCTTCCCTTATTATATAGGATCAATTATTATCATTAATCGATCCTATTAACGTCACTGAGAAAGATCCAATGTGCATACGACTATGCTTCAATTTGTTCATGATGTACTATATATTTGAATATATAGATGAATTCGTGTTATTATAAAACGATAGTTAAGATTATATCAATTATCAATAAATATTTGCTAATTTAATAAATTATTCATATGATCTAAATAAATTTTATAAATCTAAATTATGATAATATATTTAATTTATATATAATGTGTTACTAATTATGATTATGGGATATTTTGTTTACTAAATATCATTTATTTTTAATGAAGAATAAAGTGAGTAAATATTTACGAGATATTGCTATTTAATCGCGATTTATCTCAAAGTTATTTGTATCTGTATTGAGCATAAAGCTGTGTATAAAATTAAAATGCTTTGTAAAAGATGCTATACAACGAGATTAAGTTACTTAATACTTAATAAATGTGTATTAATTTTTATTTATAATAATATCTTAACATCCAATCAGAGCATATTTTTAAATTCATTTAAAATAAATGTTTTGATAAATTATATTATCAAACGTGATCTCCTGGTTAATTTCGATAGAAAATCAAACGTGGCAGAGAGACCAGAGACGATTTCGCAAGATTTACGCCGCAAAGAACCGATGCATTTCTTCGGGATGACATCAGAGTATATTAATGGTGCTTGCGGTTACTATGGGTTACAATATCCAGAATAAACGAAAGAGCGTGTATCGTGGCTAACTCTTTGCTGACAAAGAAATACACGTGTGCCGCTAGATCAGCTATAAAATATATTCTACAAAAATGAATCATATACTCGTATTTTTTTCTGATCAAATCAATCATTACTTTTCTTTTTTTATACTAGAAAGTTCATTACATATTACAATTACATGAATTTCTGTTTGATAAATCGCTATGATAAGATTATTCCGCATACATGGTAAATTTTATCTCGAACATTAAACAGAATTATATATTAATTTATAATATCATATATAATCAAATAATAATTTATCAAATCATGAATGTTTTTTATGTAGAGATAATTATATTTGCATGAGAAAAAAATTATACGATTGTAGAAGTGAAAGTATAGTTATAAAAAATATATATATATATAAATACAAATTATGTATTCTGATTACTATTTGCTAAATACAAACAAAATTTAGTCAAGTTTGAAAGAGATTCAGACTTAGGATGTGTGTGCGTACGGATGCGTGTGTGTGTGTGTATGATATGCACGCTTTGGTAACCTTGGTTATAATAGCGGAGGTGCACAATGCTGGATATTCATCTCTCGTTCCCTCATACTCCCATGCAATGCATAGAATTGTTCAAATTATGTCTAACGAGAATGTTTATTTTTATTCTTTTTTTTTCTTTTTTTATTAGATTTATATTATATTTATTTATTTTATATAAACTTTTATTATTTCTTACTAGCAATATTAATCAAATCATAATTTATCGTAATCTCAAACAATAAAGTCACAAACAAAAATTGATTATTAATTAATGAGATGTTTTCTAATTAGTTTATCATAAGTACTTCGATCTTACTTCATCATATGGTTGCATTCCTAAGTGATTAATCCATAGAATTACATCGCGAGGCTCTCTACTACTGTGATTGTTGACAAGTAGAACGAAATTAAACTTTTAACAATCTTATACTCATGATATTCTTGTTGTGTATATTTATTATAATCTATTCATTTGCAAATTAAATTATTGAAAGTATATTTTGCATTTTGTAAAGTTTTAAAAGAATAAAAAATATGTTTCATGTAAACATAAGCCATCTTTTAGAAGTTTACTAAACGACTGTGATTCTCGTAGTGTTGCATATCGACCGTCGCGAAAGTACGAAAAGGGATTGCAAAACTGCGGCGCGCACGAGCACATTCGCAGGCTTCGTGACGCTCCCATTCATTTACATGCATGATCGAGCGGAGTGGCACGAAACTCTCGTGGAATGGAGTGCTTGTTCTCCGCGCAACAACCATCTTCACGAGTACCGTTTAAATCCTTCCTTGCTTTTCTGTCTTTTGTATCTTTTTAACTTTATAGAATTACCCACGCAAAATCTAATATATTTAATATTAGAAGAAAAAGAGATTTTCAGAAATAAATAATCATGGAAATATCCGATCGCGAAGGAAAATCTTTTGTACAGTGATAGCTATCCCAGACATACTATTGTTTTGTATTTCGATTTATTTCCACTAGCAGTTCGCCATTTTCTGCTATCTTTCTCGTTCTATCTGATATAGTGATCCTTCTTCTGCGTCGTTCTGCCATAAGCATGGCGAAGACAGCGCAAATGTAAAGAAAGGACAACATGATACCGGTTATTGGCGGGGAACTGGCATATTTCACCGAGTGTCCAATAATCAGGCTTTTGTATACTTACTGTATGTTATATGTTCGTACTCTCTCTCGCCATGAAGAAAAAGAAAGCAGAGCAAAAGATAGACTTGGAGAAAAACAATGTTAGTTAGAAAAAAGAGAGGGAGGGGAGATAGGGAAAGAAAGACAATTCGAATGTTTATTTAACATAGAAGTAATCATAGATAGATATAGATAGTATCATTGATAATAGGAGATCGTGTTATAATTTTGCTGATTTTCTTTAATTTTACATATGTTTTGAATATGATTTGAATGAACGAAGAGAAAATAAATAAAATTAATCAATGCTGCTTTTTAGAAAAAAATAAGAGAAAATATTGATGGGTTTAAACAGAATATATAATAGTATCTTAGTTTTTTATATATGTTTTTATAGATTGAATTTCTCAGACTAGTTAATTATAATATGAGAATTGTTCTTTGAATTGAATTAAATTGAAAAAAGAGAATCTGGATATCATTGCCAGTTCCATCCGCACGATTGCTTACAATCGAGCTTGTTACATGGCAGTAGAATGCGCGTTTCAGCTGCGCACGGGTAGCTAGTGAGAGCAACACCGTTTTCCTGCAACGTCGAATAGCCCTGTGGTGAGAAGGGGTCAGCGGAAGCGTCAAACAACTTGTTGGAGACGTCGACCTATGTCGAGTAACAATGCTCGATTGATAGTATTGTATACGATCTAATAATCTTTTAAATGAATTTTTTTTCCACTTCTATGCATTAAATACATAAATTCTATGATTTATAAATTTATGATAATTATATAGTAAAAAATAGTTTTTCATTAGTGATATTTGATTGGTAGAACTTGTTCAAAGAATAATGAAATTCATTTGCATAAAACAGGTAAATTAAAATGCAATTTATCATAGAAATGATCAGAGATGGAAAAGAGGCAAGGAGATGGAATAGGAGAGGTCAGCATCGAGCGATAATCGTTCAGGAATAATTTTGGTTCGTATCGAATCAATGCAAGGGTCGAGGTACGCCAAGTAGGTCGCCACAAATCCCATTGCTGCCAACGTGACAAACTAACCCGTGCAACGCTCCACGCTCGAGCGCGTTTTACTCTGCGGCGAGTCCGCGTGCGAAACCTTGTTAACTTCGCGACTATCGGAATCATTACGACGAAACTAGTCAAATTTTGATATTATTATAAATATAACCGACTGTTCTCTATGCCGATTAATCCTTTACTCTTAAAGATAAAGTTATTCTTAGAAATATAATACTAAATATAGATTTTTTCCTAATAATATGTTATACTTTGAACAATACTTTGTTGTCCACAATAATCATTTGTCTAATAACAAGTTTGGTTAATGTCGAAAAGATATTTATCGATATGATATTTTTAGAAAATTGTCGAGGATTATAGTTGAAAATTTGTTTTTATTAAGATATTACGTCGTTTGTTAAGATACTATTTTATAATTAAATATTTTAATCATTTCATTACATGAATATGAAAATTACATTTTACGAAAATGCATCACGAAACATTTATTAGCCAGCTCGGAATGGCATGTGTAACAGCTGAAACGAAGTTTATATTTAGCCGCAGGAATATAGTTTTGTTTCTGTTACAAAGTATACAGTTACTTCTGGCAGTTTTCCTGATTTCATGCCATCTGAAATAATATTACATCCAGACGTACTCAAATATTCCATATAAACAAATCTTAGAAAACTACATTTTTTTAGAAAAAAGACAAGAATTGTAGTAAAAATTTACATTGGCGGATTTTCATACGGTTTGATTAAAATTAAATCCAACGTAGCATGGAACGGAGTGCATAACCTCGGTTAACAGACGCTTGCGTGGTCGCACGATGGAAGCTGAATCTCTGCCATTGGCGTTTTGACAGTGCCGATAACGTCATTACACTGCAACCAGTCACGTGATAGCGATGCAGTTGTGTAACATATACACTTTTCTTGAATCGGTCACAGCGCCCGCCAAATTGTTGATCGAAAATTCATTTCAATTTCATACAAGTAAATTTAAACATCTAGCAAGATAGTACCAAATTTTACTTAATACGTTACTAATTATTAACAAAGTTTCTTCAATCATAGAAAACTAGAATGACAGACATTTCAATATATTGTATAAAATTCAATATTTTTTTTTTTTATCCTAATTAGTAAGGATTTTTTTATATTTCTACAAAATTTCATCCAATTAACACTGCCTTTTTTGAAAATGTTTGTTTGGGACAAAAGCTTGAGAAACGACTATACAATCGTTGATAGTTTTTAATAGTAGCAGCACGTGCCACTGATAATGAGTGCAGTAGAAAAGGTAGTGTACGCATCGACAAACTTGTCTCCTATTCACGTATTCGTCACGTGATTTTGACTCCAGTTTTGTTCGCCGTGGAATTTTTCATTTCGCGATATCTTTAAATTTGCGTTACCTTAACGACCGATGTTATTAGTGACATTTAATTTGTAAATTAAATAACAACTAATAAGAAAACAATATTTGTAATTATATAGAATAATGTTATTTTACTTCATTATTTTAATTCATAGATTATCTTTTATTATTTAAATTGATTTGTATTTTCGATTTTATTTTGCAATAAATAATTATTTTTGGATATGATATACTCTATTCTTTTTACATTACAAATCATGTTGAATTATTTATTTATTATTTTAATCCTTAACCGATATTAACTATAACATTCATTTTTATATAGAATACATTTTTATAGATTTATAAAATGAGATAAGATAAGATTTTTAAACTTGCAATAAGAAATAATAGAAATAAAAGAATTCACATAATTATCCTTACTTTTCATAGATTATGTCCACCTCTTATATTTGAAAGTATTTTTATATTATTTGGATTTGTTTTGCTAGTTATATTTTCTTTCTTATCGATAGTTACACGAAGCGAATTAAGCTTATGATAATTTTCATCGCTGTGACTGGCCAGTGCTTTATATTTTTATATTCAATCGGTTGTTTATCAAATAGTTTGAGTTTAGTCGAGGAAATTGATAATACTAATTTATTAGGAACGCACGACGTACAGACGAGGTAGTAAAATACGTAGGCACACTTGGCGCGAATCCAGCCGCACGTGCGGACTTGACATGCTGGTGAATACTTATCGTAACGTACGATTTGTTACGTTTTTCTCCAAAGTATTTTTTTATCATTTTAAAAATTGAAAGTAATGATCGTGACTCATTATATATTGCTCTCATTATTATTTCTCTAAATAGTACAATAATATATGGTTTAGAATTTTATATATGCAATAAAATTATAATAAAAAAGAAACATCAGATTTCGTTATAAGATGTAAAAAATATATAGATTTCTATAGTTTGCGTTTTGCTTTGTTTCAATTTGATGCTGTTAGATGGCAGCGATATTTCAGCAATGGCGGATACTTTAGCAAACTGTAATAAGTTGATCTCTCTTTTCCAATTTTTGTTAATTATTTTTTCATATAAATTAATATTTATAAAAATTTTTTTTCACATTAAACAATTTTTTAATTATAGATGACAAGAATCATAATCAATTAAACACATTAAACGCTTACAATCTATCCACGGTTTAATCTCTTTAAATTAAATGATTTAATTTTATTGCTTTTATTTTATTGATTCTGAACTGGTTCGCTAGCAAGGAACATTATCAACGCGAACAAGAAGTATTGTTTCTATCATTATTCGTCTTCATTTCAATTTTAACATTGTAACTAAATACTTTAAATATTAAATGCGTATCTTCTTAATTTCCTTTTTTTCTTCTCCTTTTCATTGTTGGTAAGCATCTCAGTATATGACACTGAAATAGTTATAAACCGATTAACAAATATTTACCTGATAATTACCTGAAATTTATATGGATTTGCAAAAATGGTGGTGATTTATATCAGATAATTATTATTATCTAAGTACTGCAAAGAAACGTTTTTCTGGATCAATAGCTTTGAAGATTGCATTCATTCATGGACACTGAATAATTAATGGACCTTGCGAGATTTAGTTTCGGTTAGAATACGTAGCTAACCGATCAATTTTCAAAAACATTTCTCTTCGAATATTATCGTAAGATTTTCACAATTTTTTTTTTTTTTCGTTTTTTTCTATTATAAATTTATCTTTATCAAATTTTCAAAAATTTAAGTGAAACTAACGTTAGGATTCTCGGTCATATGTTACAGCCTATGGTTCAGAATCCTCAAATAGCGGAATCGAAGAGCGTGGTATCCCGTCAAGCTGCCGGGCGAGGATAGCCATTCGATCCTAATTCGCTCGAGTTTCCAATTGGCGTGATCGAAAGGCCTCCAAAACGTCGACCCCGTCGGTGATCAAGTTATCGGGGGGTGGAACAGGTGGGGGTGGGGAGCAATTGTCCCCAGGGTCTGACCCACCTCCCCCGGTATCCCCAGCCGAGAATACCGATACTAACGAGAATGATGTCGCTACGACGAAATGCGTTGACAGCTTTCCACAGAGCGCTGAAACCACCATGAGCTTTGTCCTGCAATTGGGCACGGTAGAAACATCCCTCGAAAAGAACTCTGATACTTCGCCATCATTGTCGATGAATCAGGAAACTTCGAATGTGGCGGTTACTGGAAACGATGATGCCGGCAAACCTCAGATTCTTCAATGTTTAGAAAGCAGCGCCGAAATTTCAGCCGGTCATGTTATCTCCTTTTCAACTGTAAAATCAGTTAGCGTTACTTACCCGATGGCGAAAGCCGTTAGGGAAGTGCAGAGAATTACTGGTTCTCAAACAAATACCACCCAGGTATTGTCGACTCGCGTGATCTCACAGAAATTACCGTCGTCTATCCATCAGACTCAATCCGCACCTTTAACACTAAACGCATCTTCCAACGTTGCCCATATCCCGGTAAACGCTCAGTCTTTGCCATCGCCAGGCAGCGGAATGGCACATGTATATCCTTTGCAGCACGCGGTGTCTACGCAGAGCAAACAGCAAACTAGAAATCAAGCGGTCACCTGTGAGAGCAAACAACAACAACAACAACAACAACAGCAACAACAGACCACGATATCTAGTTTGCAAACTAGTATGCCCTTAAAGGTTCAACCGGTATCTTCGCAATTAGTTGTAAGCAACAATGCAGTTAGAGCCATCACTACCGCTACTTCATTGCCCAATATTCAAAGGATACATGTGAAGGCGCAAAATATCGTTGGACAGGCTCAGACTGTTAACTTGCAGAAAGTGAAGGCTGTGACTAATGTCAGTCAAGGGGTAACCGTTCAAAGAAATTCCGTACCGAGGATACAAACCGTACAGAAGACTCAGGTGTCAACTGTTACATCCCAAACTACCCAGTTCGCTGTTAATCAAGTCACGAACAATGCCAATGTACAGAGAACTCAACAAGGCAATCCGACGCTCCAGAAAGCACAAACGAATACTGCGAGCACACAGAAAGTAGCGCAGATCTACAATAACCAAAAGATGTCATCACAGATGTTAAATAGCCATCCGAATCATAAAGCACAATTACAACAAATAACGAGTAATCAACAGCAGGGATTACAAAAGATACAAGTTCAGTCACAGAAGACGGTAACTGTGCCAAGACAACAATCGAACACTACAGCAGGGAATAATGTTCAAAAATCTAGTAATTCTGTAACTGGCATACAGAAAGTACAAGTAGTAGGACAAGTACAATGTCAACAGCCACAGGTCCAAAAACATGTGCAACAGGTTCAGCCATCACAACATCAAAGATCACAATCTACAGCAGCCTTGCAAAAATCTCAGACTGTAGCTACAGTTAATTCTAATAGAGTACAATCGATCGCAAATGTTTGCAAAAGTAATAGCGTTCCGAATATTACCAAAACATCGCAAAATGCCAATTTATTAACTGTGAACAAACAACCAGTAATCTCACAGCCGCAACAATCGCAGCAAGTACATATCCAAAACTCGTCCCAATTACAACAACAGTTGTTACAGCAAACTTCACAGCAACAGTCGCAGCAACAAGTGGTACAAAAACAGCCACAACAACAACAAACGAATACGAATTTACAAACACAGAGAAGTCATAATATTACAAACGTCCATCAAAAGGTTGCGACCATTGCGACGATTCCCAATAACCAACGAACCCAAGTAGTAAATTCTAAAATACAGCAGCAACAGATGGTAATGAGAGTAGGCGTACCAAAGAACCAAACTCAAAATTTACAAAGCAATTTGAAAAACGTACCTCAAAAAATTACAAATACGGTTAAAAATTCAAACTCACAGAATGTCGTGCAACAATCATTGCACAGAAATGCGAACGTGCAGCCAGTAAAAATAATCCAGCAACAACAGAATGTTATAGGACCGCAGAATGCTCAAAAACAACCTGGATGCATCAAAACGATACCGCCACAAAAACCAGCCCAAAGGAATCATACACAGAAAGTAGCCGGTATTAAGACCTCTTTAAATACAAACGTAGCCTCTGTGAAAAATCAAGGATCAACAACTGCAGTCGCACAAAAGGCAAGCATCAAAACATTGCTTCCTCAACAGACTGTTGCTACGAATATGTTGATGCATAAAAATCAACCAATTAAAATTCAACAGCAAGCGATACAACAAAAACAGCTTATCACATCATCGCAGTTTCCTCAGCAAATTAGGCAACAATCTGGACAAGTGAAGACATTATTACCAGTAACTAGTATGGATTCTCGCAAGGATATAGAGAATAAGTTAGTATTTTTGACTTGTTAATCAATTAATGATTAAAAAAGAAATTGTTGTCCTTAATAAATTTATATACATTTATATTTATACAAAAAATAAATTTGTTAATAAATATTAATATTTCTAGAACCGAACCCGAATTGCGTGAATCGAAAGAAGATGAACGTCAACAACGCCCTACAACTCCAATTATAAGAATACCCCCTCCTTACGAGGTAACATATACTATAGTAAACATAATATGCAAATTTAATAATGAATCTTCAGAATCATTTTTGCAGTGTGCACTGTTGCATTTTGTAGTCATGTATAGTTGTTCCTAGAACACTTAATTCTTGATTATAGTGTCTTCAGTACGTCCTACAGGATCACAATTATGGAGCACCACCTCCACGAACACCATCACCTCCGTCACCACCGTCTCATCCAAAACAACCCATCAATGGTGGCGGAAATTCGACTGCAACTTCTCAGCATTCTTATATTTATGGAAAAGGTATATTTTTGTTCAATCCAGTTCATAATGAGACGCAAAAAAAATATATATTTTTAACGAAACGTTGTTTTTCACTATAGTTGTTACTGGCACTAATGTGGATGATGATGCAGCCAGTGTTATTAGTAGTGAAACAGGTAGAGACGTTGAATTGGAAGGTGAAGAAACAGAAACGGCTCCTGAAGGAGAAGGAGACGATGAAGACAGTGTTACTAGATGTATATGGTAGGTATTCCTATTTAAAAATTAATTAATAAAAAATATTTAATAAAATTCAATATTTACTTCTAGTGACTTTGAACATGATGATGGATACATGATTTGCTGTGATCGATGTTTGTAAGTATAAATAAAATTGTCAAAATATATAGCAGAATTTCATATAACATTGTACTAACAAATATATGATTACAGAGTATGGCAACATGTTGATTGCATGGGTATAGATCGTTCTAACATTCCCGATGAATATCTTTGTGAAATTTGTCGACCACGACGTGTAGATAGACAAAGAGCACGTGCTTTGCAAATGCGTAAACGTGAAGAATTGTTAAATTCAGATACATCATCCGATACATCATCTACCAGTTCAGCAGATACTGATGTTGGTGTAAATACAATTCCAAAAAAACGAACTATACAACAGCAAATTCCTCGACGAAAATCTGAACCACCGCAAGTAAGGCGACTGAATAATAATAATAACAACAATAATAATAATGTCGCAAAAAGACAAAGAAGAGATTCACATCCAAGACAATCTAGTACTGTTCGTAAGAAAGAAACTACAAAACGTGGTCCAGGTAAACGTAAAGCAAAACGAAGAATGAGTTTAGAAGATAAAGAAGAAGAAGCTCAAGATACATGGAGTTCCAATGTCGCACCATTAAGACAATGGATCGAACGTTATGAAGAAGCTGTAACGAATCATTATAGTCCAGAATTAAGAGCTAGGATATCATCTATTAAAGTGAATGGCACACATAGCGATTTGAGACAAAGTAATATGAATGTTATTGCTACTGGAAAATATAGGCTCAATGTTCACAGTAATAATGTTAGGGTAAGTATGAACATTTTTTATAATGGAAAATTTTTTTTAATTATTTTTATTAAAATAATAATAAAAATTTTTATTTTTTATATATATAGTTTTTGGTGGCAACGATGTATCTTCCACCAAATACACCTGTCGTTGAATTACGTGGAAAGTATATGTTGAGTACACAACATCGACCATCCTATCCTCAAGGAAGACAACATACCCAGAGACCTGGACCTTTTGTATTCTTTTATCGATTACCACGAGATGGTACAGAAGTTTGTGTAGATACCAGAACATATGGAAACGATGCTAGATTTGTGCGACGTAGTTGTAAACCTAATGCGGAAGTGAAACACTGTATAGAAAAAGGAACATTACATTTATATATTGTGACCACAACCGCGATTGAGAAAAATGCTGAAATTACGATCAGACATGAACAACACGATCTCCTGTTATCACCTAATCCAAATAGCTCTATGATGCCTATTGTTTGTGCGTGTAATAATCCGAGAGAATGCCAAATAGTGTCTCTAAATCAATTGAACAGAAGAGGAAGTAACGGAGCATTGGCTGAAAATGCTGATGGTCGAGAACGAAGACGAAGGGGTAGACGAAATACAATTTGCGAAGATAGCGATTCTTCGACTGTGATGTCTAACAGTACTATTATTGCACAACCTGCACCACCACCAACGACAGTATCATCAGTATCTGCACCACCGAGAAGAACAGTTACAACCACAATAGCGTCAAATACAATGCGTCAACTATCTAAGGAGGAATCGTTGACAGTAGTTCAACAGCCACAGACTTCTCCAAATTTAAGTCAATCTATACCTTCGGAAACTAAGAAAGACAAAAAGAAAATGACCAGAGAAGAAAGAAAAATGGAAGCCATTATGAAAGCTTTTGAAAGATTGGAAAAAGCGGAACAAAGAAAGCAAGAAGTTCAAGCACGAAATGCACAACGAAAGGAATCTGGTGGTACGCATAGCGATAATGAAGATAGTCATAGTTTGACGATGCAATCTAAACAGAAACAACAAAATTCTGACAGACCTTTGAGACGGAAAAGAAAAAAAGGTAGAGCAAGAACTACTAGTACTTCTCAATCACAAGGTACTAGCCGAAGAACAAGATTGAATTCTGCGGATTCCGACGAATCATCTGGAGAAGAAAGTAATTCGATGCAATCACCACCTCTATTGAGCCAAAATCATTCGCAAAATCGAGATACTCCTTATTCTTCTTACTTAAATACGCCTGCAAAAAACACGAATGAAAGTGTGACGACACCTGCTCATCAGGGAATTCCAACAGCTGCTGGTCTGCTCTTAGCTCTAGCAAATTCTAATGCACCTGGACCTAGTTCACCACCTCTACAACAACCAACACCAGTTAAGAGTCCAACTTGCGATAGTGGTGCAAGCAGCAGTTCTCAAAGTTCAACTCCATCTACTCCTTTATCTTCGGCTTGTTTGCTAGTCGCAGCAGCAGTTGGTCCTTTAGCTCCTGGCTTTAAATTTCCAAAAACCAAAAAAGTTCTAATGAATGAATGGTTAAAAGAGTCGCCTGATCCACCACAAAGCAACATATCTCAAATGTCACCATTACCAGCATTACCACCAGCTTCCACTTCGAATTCGATAAATTCTCTTTGTAGATCGGATTTTTCTTTACCAACAGACACATCCGCAGAGTTTTTAACACAAAGCTATGCGGCTAAGAGTTTAGCAACTCTTGTACAAGCAGCAAACTCCGTTTCTGGAATTTGCGATTCACCACCACAACGCAAACAGGCGATTAGTGGGAATACGGTATGCCCTGTCTCTACAGGATCTGCCAAAAAAAGATGGTTACGTCAAGCTATATCTGAAGAATGTGATTCACCGAATAGTCGACCAGATAGTCCGCCGGCCAGTGAAATGGTAGCTCCACCAAAGAAAAGAAGAATAGCCAGAGAAAGTTTGTCATCAGACAATTATACTCCACCAACAACACCTACCATGTTAGTTCCTGAATCTACTCCGAATAATAGATCTTTGTGTCCTAACGAAGTAAGTTATTATTAATTTATATATTGAAATATATAAATATTTATAAATAAATTAAAATTTATTATCTTTTAATTGAATCTTTTTTTCCAGGATGATTTTATCGAGCACTTACAATCGTCATTAATTGAACAGAATGATGAACGTCACATGACAACAGAGTCTATAAAACAGGAAGTTGTTTCACATGTAAATTCGGATGAGACTGTACGGCAAAAACTTTCGATAGATATTCCACAGGATTTTCAAGTAAAAACTATGAAATCTGAGAAACATATAGCACAAATGAATACTTCGTTGGTGAAAGAAGAGAACATTGGGATAAAGAAAGAAAAGAACATAGAAATGGATTGTGACACTTACATGCATTTGGAATCAAAACCTTTTATTAAAGATGAATTACGATCTATTAAAAACGAATTTGTTAACAATCAAAAAGATAAGAGTAAAGAAGATTACATTATTAAAAAGGAAGAAAATTCAAACATAGAAAAGGGTACAGTTGAGATAATCGATCAGAATGAAGGTGATACAGAAATGGAAGATTTCAGCTCTCCAATTGCTGTTATGGAATCGGATGCAATTCTAAAGCAACGAGTAGCTGAAATGAGACTCGAATATGGAGGTATAAGCGAGATAGTTAAAGTTGAAGATGATAAATGTGATGATGATAAAAGATCTGAGGATATAAAATGTGAAATAAAATCCGACGATAACATGTCAATTGATGAATTTGATGTTGAAGCTCAAATGAAGAAAATCACTGGCGATGATGGAAATGATTATAAAGAAAAAGTAGATACTAGTTCCGAAAAAGATAAAAGTATGGATGGTATCGAGGGTTTAATGGAAAGTTCTAAGGAAGATTCAGAATCTGAGGATAAAGAGATGGATGATGTAAAATACGAACCATCATTCAAATCATTCAATTTAAATCATGAAGAAAAATTGTTTAAAGAATTTGAAAGCAAACCTGATCCCGATCCTGATCCTGATCCCGATCCTGATCCTGATCCTGATCTTGATCCTGATCCTGATCCTGATGCTGATCCTGATCCTGATCCTGATCCTAATCCTGATCCTTCTATGGAGAATAGTATTAAAGAAATTGAACAGATTCAGGAATCTCAGAAAATAGAACAGCCGTCCGCATTTGTTACATCATCAGAAGAATCCATTTTCGAGTCTGCATCTTCTAATATGGATACAGAGTCTATTGTAGAATCACCAAAGATTTTTCATTCCATTCCACCATTAAGTGAACGTATTCGTAAAAAAACAGAAACTACAAATGCTTCAAAAAGTCAGCTGAATTTTGAAGCAGCTATAATCGAATCCACCATTAACATGGAGACAGAAGATGAATCAAAAAATGGTGAAGAAAAGTCTATGCTTTCAACGGCTTTAAGAGAATTGTTGGAAGCCAAATTGGATGATCTGACACCTAATGATGCTAAAGAAGAAATAACTAACACCGAAGAAAATAATACTACATATATCGAATCAAAGTCTGAGAATTCGGAACAAAATATAGAAATACAAGAATCTGTATTAAAATCTACTTCTCAAAATGTTCATAATGTTCACAATGAAGAAATTCCAGTGAAAGAAGAGGAAGTTCCACCTAAAGAAATCAAACGATTAAAAGATCCGAGAACCGTCGTTCCAAATAGTATGCCAGCTCCTACATTTAAACCTGAATCAATTCCTCCTGTTAAACGAAAGGTTAGAATAACTATAGAATAAAATCTTTATTTCGAAGTTATTCAACTATGTGTTTCTTGTTTATTCAAAAGTAATTTGTCGTTTTAGTTGTCCATATCAGAATACCGTAAGCGAAAACAACAATCATCTGGAACACCTCCAGAACCTGAACCATCGAGCGATTCTACAACAGATAAAAGCGGAGCTAGAGGTAGATCAGATAGTGCGAGCAGTGGAACTTCATCACTTAGCTCTGATGAAGAAGGTTCAAAAATCTCATTATCTCTCGATATACCAACTTTAACCACATTACCGCTTTTCAATAATGCAGAAGGAGAAGAAAAAAAAGGTTAATATAAATATAATATAATATGTGATAATAGATAATAGTGATTTAGACTATTAGATTTAGACTATTTATGTTAAAAATAATATATTATTTCATTAATGTTTTTATAGGTGGTGAGGAGGGAACAATTGGTTGGTCTGCAGCACCAACTTTAGTTGAACGTCAAAGAGAAAATCTTACAGAAAGATTAAAACGAGAATTTGGATTATTCTTAGCGACGACGAAGAAGAAAGAGCTCGCAAACACGGTAAATATTCTATATATTGAATTTTTATTATTCTTAATATTGCTCTTAATATGCTTAATAATGCTCTTATACGATTGTAAATTATTACAGGTCTAACAGCAGAGGCAATATTAAAAGCGCGGAAAGCGTCTCCACCTCATCCAAATGTATCAAATACTCCTCCAGGTTATCCGCTACCGCAATTGCCTCCTCAGCCTTATATTCCTCCTCCAGGATCCGCACCTATTCATTATCCTCAATTCCAAGCTAAACCTTGTTCCGTTCAATATCCAAACTTCACAGTCCCACAGAACACTTCACAACCAGTCTATGCGAATACTACGCCTCAGACCTCTGCAAACAAGCAGACACAACAATTCTTAATACCTCAAGCGTCACAAGCACCGCCGGGCTCGAATCCATATCCTCCTCAATTTATTCCACCATCTACCACTGCAGTATCGATCTCCAAGTATACATCTGTGACTCCGCCATCTGGAAATCAAATATATCCTGCAACTGGCCAATCGCAAAAGCAATTTTTCAATCATCCGGCACCAAGATCTTAACCCACATAAAAGGTAGTGCTATCGAAAAGTTATTAGTTGGGAAATTTTTATCACACTTAGCCGGATTGTGAATTAAATCATTAATTCATAACGAATAAACACCAGGCTCATGGCTGGTTGCTTAATTCCATTAGATTAAAATGTTAAGTTATCCTTTCTAGTTTAAAACGAAAGGGAGTAAAACAAGATATTTTGAGTGTGGAACAGAAAATAAATTCACGATCTTTTCTTTCTTATGTCGTTCGTGTTATAGCAAAAGGGTATTTAGATTATATATGACAAAATAATAATTCGTGCACACGATTGGCATGTGAGAAGAGATTCGTGATACCAGGTGCTACACTGTTCTCGCTTATATAAAAAACATTATGCGTACACCGTTGACTGCGAAGGAAGAAACATAAGAAATATTAATGCTTCTGATGGTTTCGGAGACGCACTCGATGGAATTCGCGTGGCCTAAAATGACAATTAAGTATTTTGAACTGGAAAAAGAAACAGAGAAAAATGAAAGAAAACAAAACGTAGTGTTCTTGTGTATTATGTATAATGACCGTGTTTAAGAAAATTATTGGCATCTAAGTATTATGGCCAAAAGTGTATTGAACATTGTACACTTTTAATATCGGTGAAATGGTGCCCTAAAAAACAATTATATATATATATATAGCATTAGTCCAATTTTGACAAAACTATAACAAAGTTGGAATTAATCCGAAATGATAATGGTGATATGCATTGTTTCGGAAGCTCTACAGTTATATATATTATATATGTATACACAAATACACAGAAACAGATACACAAACGTGCATACTTACATTGTAATACGATTTTTCTGTAAATATCATTTGCATATATGCATAATATAACGATATTAAAATGTACATTTAACCTTAGTTAAGGATAGAGGGAGAGATACAGAAAAAGTTAAAACACTGTGCTGTGAGTTGCAATTTTTATTTTTATTTCTTTTTTTTTTTTTTTTTTTACGTTTTTTATTTTGTATTTTCTTTTTTTTTCTTTTTTCTTTTTCTTTTTTTTTTTTTTCTTTTTTAAAAAAAAAAGTAACAAAAAAGAAAAGAGTATCGGCATGATCGGAATCTTAAAGAAAAAAAAAAAAAAAAAAATAAAACTTCATAAAAAAAAGATTTCATAGAATTCAAATGGAACAATATCACTGCACAGTGACAGATTCATTATCGAAAATTGGAATTACCGCTTTTCGATTCCATCGTGATGATGAACATCGATTTCATGGGAAGAAAATAAGCCTGTTTAGGCTAAAATTGTACAGTTGAAAAGAGAAAAATGTAAATCTAGACTGAATTTCCCAGGTATCGATTTCATCGCTCTGTACCTCCTGCTAAGAGTCTGACACATCTTTTCTTTTAAGAATTGTTTTTTTGCGCTCAAATTTTCAAATTTCCCTTCATTGTTTTTTCCTAAACACGATCGATAGTACAACATGATTTTAGTTAATATTGAGAGGCGTCTCCGCGACAAATATTTTTTATTTGACGATCCTTGGAAATCCTGAAACTAAACATTCATTCTGAAGTACAAAGCTCTTTAAGAGGCGATATAGAGAAAGAATGTATTAAAAGAGAGAAAGAGAGGGAGAGAGAGGGAGGGAGAGAGAGAGAGAGAGAAGAAAATAAACTGCAATAAAGAAAAAAAGAATTAGTATGGCGGGAGAACTGTAGGCTATTTTTTGTAAAGAAAAAAGTAAGAAAACGAATTAACGAATGCGTAAGTTGTTTGCATTTTTTTTTTCGTTCTCGGAATTTGTAGATTCTTCTAATTGTTCCGTACTAAGAAGGATGTCAATTTTTTTTAAAAATTTATTTATTTGCATTGTAAATTTAGTTATTTTCTTTTCTTCCTTTTTAACCCGGTGATCGATGATTTCTCTTATTTTTCTTTTTTTTCTACTTAAGTGTAAATGTTTGATTAAGGACAATTCGCCCAGTGTACAGTGTTGTACAAAGATTTCATATCGAAATCGTTGCGTATTTGTCGTGTGTACATATATAAATATTAAATACGTTAATTAATTACGATATTTCTTATTCGGAGTTCCTCGTTGTAATATGAGTTATGATTATTCGGCTCTTGTATACTTCGCAGATTTTAAACTCACACTTAATGTTCTATTCAAAAAGAATACATACACACAACGAATTACTTCTCTCGATCAAAGAGAAATTTTTTAGCTGAAAAATTTAAATTATACTGAATCTAAAGGCCATAAATATTCCTTAATTTCCACTGTATTTCCATCATGTGCAATAATAATTATAAAAAAAAAAAATCATATAAGCAATTATCGAATCAAATATTAAAAGCGAAAAAAGAAAGAAAAACTATTTTGACATTTTTGACTTGTA